ACTGCGCACTCGTCTACACGAACACAAGCTCGCCCTCCGGAGCGCTGGACCGAGGTCACGAATATGGAACCACTGCACACGGTCAGTTCACCAGATTGCGATTGATAACGCCAAGGTAGTGGCGCGAGCTAAGAAAAGTGAACGATCAATGTTTGAAGCTCTACACTCGATCAATTCGTTCAACCGACATTACGTCGCATTTGCAAAACTCATGACGGTTGGTGGGTTAATTGACGCACGTACAGCACACAGGCGCACAGATAGACGGTAATCTCATTTGGTATCCTAGATCCTGAAGCACTTTAGTAGCTCGGTGGGTAGTGTTACCGGTGTCCATCAATTCGCACGGAATGCTGTGAAAAATCATAATGCAGCATTGTTCATTTAAATATCATGAATTCAAACGCAAAAGACCTATGCATAAACATTATAAATGTATCTGTCACACAGGAAAACAAAGGAAAGTAATTTGCTCACATACATACATCGAGGTCTGTTTGTGAAACGAAAGCCTACCTGCACAATTTCGCAATGTATAAGGTCAGAAATTTTCTTTCCCGGGTAACCTCTAGCAGATAATCGGGGATACAAAATGGAGTTATCCGTTCGCAGTACAAAAACCGCATCAAACCAACGTTCGGGGAAAAAATCACAAGAATGATAGTCAACTACCTGTGGATAAGAAAAACATGAAAGGCTGGTGTAATTCGATACCTGACCACCCTGTGCCATGTAATCTTCAAGTTCATCCACAACTCGATCTTCGTCCAAGATGTGGCAATCGTTTTCATTATCGTATCCGTCATAGAGTTCTCCTTCCTTTGCGACATCGTTAACACTAACAAAATTCAAGGCACATCTTTCTGCAACTTCCTTAGCCAAAGTGGTTTTCCCGGTGCCCGGAGTACCCGTGATAAGAATATTTGGATTGGATCGGGTACGTCGCATCGCTTTAATTCAGCAAACTCAACCTGGTTTCTAACAGAGAAAGCTGATCGTTTAATCGTGTCACGATAGTAGCCGACTTATTAATCAATTCGGTGGTGTTCGAGAGAACCGGATCTTGGTTGACCGTCTGTTGAATGGCACTCTGTAGCGTTTGGGATGCTCCAGATACTTTCAGAACGTGTTTTGTAAGTAAATGGACACTGGAAATCGAGTCAATTGTTTTCCTTTGAAGATTTACTCCAGCTTGTTGTCCCCAAGATTTGGTATCGACCATACCATTCTGTAGAAATGGAACAATATAAGAGGATAACACTTATACTACACATCTGCGAATGAAAAAATGTCAAAACAATTTACGACTGCTACCTATTTGCACTTTAGTACTTTCAGGGGGCCGTTTGATGGCAAGTTATGAGTTTCGTGAGATCCCAGTGAGTCTCATGAGAACTGGTAATCCTAACTAAACGACTGTTACACATTCTTTTTTATCCTGCTCCTGTATTTCTTCGAAATTTAGGGGTTTGAAATATCTCTTGGTTTGTACAACAATGACACTACTTGCATCATACTACAAAACGCCGAATAATAATGATAATAATAATAATAATAATAACTTTGTGTTATTCTCTGATGGCAGTTTTTCATTTTAGCAAAAACCGGTAAGCTGCAAAATCTACAGCATTTGGTGTTGATTTTACCCCGAATTTGTCGCAAACGAAAGAATACCAATGACGCCGCCGTGACTTTGAAAGTGATTCCATTGAAAGTAACTAGTCATACTGTGCAGCGCTGCGTTTGTTACAATATGATTACTTTACTGAGCATACACGAAGCGCACGTTTTGCTGTCATCCGGATCAGTATATTGGTTTAATATACCTCACCACCCAAAATCCTGCGGCTAAAGTCACTAGTTGCCAAGTAGTCTCCTTCTGCTGATTATCACGCAGAGGGACGTGATGGACAAGATGAAACGCAGGCGGGTGTGAGTAACAGTGGATGGGATTCAGATGTCAGAATAAAGAAAAGAACTGCACTGTACAGAGTTTCAGTTTATACAACCATTAACCATGCCCTTTCTTGTGCCCTTTTTGATTGTTATCCCAGGAAAGCCATTGGGATCAAGGAACAGAGTGAAGATTGGAGTGTTGCGAGCAGAGTCAAAGAGAAATCAGAGAATTCTCATAAACTAAGGTTGCAAAGAGATTGAGAAAATGCACTAGCACCACTGTGACACTCAAACATATCGCTCCCTTTTTCCAACCATCGGTTACGCTGATCACAATGTCCCCATTCAGGCAGCCTTACGCGACCCATTTGGGTAACATTTCTGGTCAGGCTTTTCAGATCCTTATGGCCCGTAGGCTCGAAAGTCCAGGGATCGATGTGTGTTGCCTCTCGGAAACACACATTCGAGATCCGAGCTTAATAATCCGATTAACGCTTCCTTTCTGGCCTAAAAGAAGTGTTTAATCTGCGCGTTTCTGGGGAGCCTGTCCCATCAGCGTC